GTGGCCGATGTCATAGTTTGCGAATCGAGCGATTCGCTAGCGAATCGCTGGATCCGAGCGTTGCGCCAGCGAATCGAACGTTGCACCAGCGAATCGAACTTTGCGCCAGCGAGTCGAACGATGTACCAGCGACTCAATAGTAGGCTTAGCTGCATTGTACTCATGAAACTTGATGAGAATAGAGCTGAGAAGAGATACAGCACTGACAATACGCAATCCATTTATACAAAATTTCTTTTCTATTAAGCCGGTGCAAGATCACAAGTAATGCACATCCAGCACATTCCGATCAAGTCACATCCCAGTTTTAGCCCATCGAAGCGTTCCCTAACTCGAGGCTGATTCAGCCGGCTCTTAGCAAAAATGTGCTGGGCCCAATGCGTGTTGTGAGTGCTCGTATCAAAGTCTTATCAACGCTAAATCCTTGCGCATATTGAAGAGATGGAGCACAATTACGGGAACCCCCCCCAAACTCAATTTCCACCCTAAGGGGTTCACTGTTCAATTACATTCGAACATTCCAGACATGCGGGAGTCTCTTCTTTGATCGTCGGTTTTAGAAAGATTTTGATTGTTGCAGATTCCTGTCATAGAAGAAGGCGGAGAAAAAGCTCAGACAGACGTGACCTCAAGTGCCTTCTTCCAGTTCGTGATTTCGCTGAGTATAACTTGGAGATGATTGTAACTCTTGTTACACAAAACTTATGCAACCATTTTCCCTACAGTGAATGAAAAAACCATATCCTGACCGGAGATTTCTGCTTGGGGAAGCTCCTTTGCATTCTCATCCATTCCCTTGTTGACATTATTTGAAAGAAGAAAAGCCAGAGTAGGTTCCGTGGCTGCTGTAATGAACAATAAAAAGTCAATTAGTAACTCAGACCTCCACACACAACCAAGTATAATATCTATCGCTACTATGCGCTATAGATACAACTAACCTGAAGCTGGGATTTCTGCTGGACCAGTCAGACACAAATCATCATTCTCGGGATCTTCTTGCTTCACTTTAACCTCCTTGAATAGATCATCGTCTTCAAGATTAGCTCCTTTTACTTCACAGTCCAGTACAGTTTCCAGCGCTGAACGTGAGCTACTTCTTTTCATAGCTAACTTTTGTCGATTCGAACCTTAAGTATAGCAATGCGACGAATTGTTCAGAAGGTGATACACATGTTGGTGGAAATTCTGTAATGACTACAGAAAAATGCTTCAATACCTGACTCTGAGGCACATACAGGGGAACTGGAGCAAACGGCCATTTCTACTCGGAAGGCACCACACCCCTTTCCTGTACTGTGGGCTCAGTTCGATCTAAAATGGTACAATGAGTAGGTAAAGAACTTCCCAGGAACAAATATTGAATGATTCCTGACGCTAAGACAGATGTCAGACTCTGCGACCGATCACTCACAAAAGAAGCGATAGGTCGCAAATTCCGACATCTCAAAGTGCCCCCGAGAGTGCGCAGGCTCCTTCGAGATATCGGATTTGACTGTCTCCTCAGGAACATATTTTTTTCGATTCCTAAGCAATGGTCACTGACTCCTGAAGGTCATGGAACACTAAGAATCGGTCGCATCGTTAGCGATTGATGGCTAGTCTGACATGGATGGACACCTACACCTAGATATATTTATGCCACCATGGTGTATTTGTACTATCAAATATAACGGCTTCATGGAAGCATGAAATAAAGGATGAGAGATTGACACGGCTTTCAGAGATAAGGCGAAAATACCTTGAAATCTCAACTTAGACCACAACCACACAACAGGTATGAAATGAGGGATGAAATTCAGGTTGGCTTCCAGAGGTAAGGCAAAAATAACTTGAAATCGCAACTTTGACCACAAATTACACAACATAACCTTTCATTATTTGTACACCGATCACGAATAATCCAAAAATCGTCAAATAGTACGGCGCTATCAATGAGAAAAGGACCACGTAGGCATTATCGGACCAAGGAGGCACAAAGAAGCATGGATGCAGTAATGCGTAATGGATGCAGCGCACACTCATATAACTGAAACTCTTGACCACTTAAAAAATGAGAAATCTAATTCCTACTACCGAGTGTGTAAGGCTAAGCCGAGCGTCTGGTTTAGCAACATTTTGTGTGCGTAGTGCGCGCTCTCGAAAAACCCCTTAGAACACATTGGTCCTCGCAGCTAATACAATTAGACAAAAGAAGACAGCTTGCGAAATGACTCACACAATATATCCAGTATTGCGGGTATTATTAGGTGAATCATGACATCATATTGAAATAAA